AAAAACTACGCTCATTACTAAAATAATTTCATCTTTTGTTATGATTCCATTTCTTCCCACCCACTGTCCATTTGGGATGCCTTCAGAAAAGACAGAGGGTGTGAAATCTAAAGCAGTTCATTTAGTATCTTCATAAGATGTTTCAGGACAAAATGGGAAGTTTTCATTAAAATGCATATGTATTTTTATGTAATCTGTATTTTGCATTTATTCTGTCTGTGTATATCACATTATCAGTAATAATCAGGAGGATCATGGCATTCATGTTTAGCAGTGACATAACAAATTTGAAAAAAAAAACTCAGCATTTAATTAGTAACTGTGAAATCTTATAAAACTGCTTGATTTGTCTCCTATTAGTAATTTTAACATAAAATGAAGTGATAAAATACATTTGATAAGACTTTTGTTTTTTTAAAACTTTTTCAAAATGTTTGAGTAATTTTTTTGATAGCTTAGTTGCCCTGAGAATTCTGATATATGGAGTGTAAAATGTAAAATGTAATATCCAGAGGGAATCCTCCATATTGTATAATTCAATCACATAGGTAGCATTTAGACTCAGGCATTCAGAACTATTTGCCGAGTCTTTTTTTTTTTTTTTTTTTTGGTGGGAGGATTGGTTTGAAAACAGCAGGAAAATAACTCAAACAAGCCTAAGTCAGGGCGGGGGTGTCATGGGGAAAAGGGAGGGAAAAATGAAACAAGATGAGACCAGGGAGGGAGACAAACCATAAGAGACTCTTAATCTCAGGAAACAAACTGAGGGTTGCTGGAGGGGAGGGGATAGGGATATCCCTATCCCTAGGAGGGATAGGGTGGCTGGGTTTTGGACATTGGGGAAGGTATGTGCTATGGTGAGTGCTGTGAGTTGTGTTAAGAATGATGATTCACAGACCTGTACCCCTGAAACAAATAATACATTATATGTTAATTTTTTTTAAAAGAAGGAAAAAAAAAAGGATGTATTGACTTACAGAAATGTTCAAGAGAGATTTGGGGAATGATGGGCATCCATCGAGTTATAGTCGTGATCTAGTCATGTGAAGAACTCCAACTTTCTTTCCTTTGAGGTAACGTTGGATTTTAAAGATTCTCCATTTGGTGAGAAATCGTTGTCCAGAAGTTCTAAGATTCTATTGTACTGTCTGAGCAAACCACAGTGAAGAAAGATTCTCCCTTCAACAGTTCTTCCAAAAGCAGTACCAGAATTGAGTGTGGTTGTCTCTGATAGGTGGCCTTGGTTCCCACAGCTAACAAATCACAGTGACTATGGTATACCTGCTTCTAATGGCAAGACCTGAATCTTATGTTCTTTCCTGAACCCATAGGTGTAGTCTTCCCAATTCAAATCATATGAAGATAGGAAGCATTGTTTTTGTTGTTGTTTTTAAGGACAATTAAAACACAAACCAACAACAAACAAATAAACATGGGACCACTGCAGATTGAGAATTCAGTACCCTTCTTCAGAATTGGAAGTTGTTATGTTAGAAGCCAATACACTGAATCTTATAACCTTCTCCATAATTAAATGGTTTAGGAAAGAACACTTATCACTCCAACCCCAAATGAGATAAGGAAAAAAAAAATCTAGAGTGTCTTCTTTTTTAAGTGAGAAACTTATCTGTCTCTGTCCAACCTTGTGTCTTTTCTACATTTCTTGCCTTTTGCTGTTATGCTAGTATAATTTAGACCTTGTATGTTCCACAGTCGTGGCTTTCCATAAGGATTCTACTGCTCAGTTTTGGTCTCATTCCATTGATGTTTAATACCACAGAATACCATTTCTATGTCTGTCTAATGGCTCCATGGACATACCACACTGAGAATTATTTAAGGGTTCCTTACAGTTGATACTATAATTAAAGTAAAAAAAGGGTCAGAGCATATTGGGAATTCTAACAAATGGGTTTTCCAAGAAGCAGACCATGAAAGGATAATCTTTTTGCAAGTGATTTGATAGAAGAGTTCTTAGAAAGAACTCATAAGAGAATGGAGAAGTTGGACAGGGATGGGAGAGCAGCCAAGCAGAGTATGGTATTGTGCAAAATTCAACAGAAGTTAAATTTGCCTCAGTCCTGTAGGGGAGCTCTGGAGAGGGTGCAGGTCATACCCTAGAGATGTTCAACCATTAGAGGCAAGGAGTTGGACTGTTTGTACCACAGCACCAGTCAGTTGTTGATTAAGAGCTGCCCTTAGGGTTGTGTAAATCCCTAGCTGCCTATACCTCTTTCTTTGTGAAGGGAAAGTTAGCTACAGCAGCTTGAGGGTCGTTGTCAACAAAGAGATACTAACTGTTGAAGGTAATAACACTTCACAATCTGGGGTGGCTAAGGGATCAGAAGGCACACAGTTAGAGTACTGACATTTTCTGCTGCATTATTTCTATTGGAAAGGTATATCTTTATACCTCCGTATCTCTATAGAATATAGTGTCTCATCCATTTAGGGAAATAAGCTTATCCAGAGAGACTTCAGTGTTATCACTGGGTTCTTTTGGGGAAAGTAAGAATAGCTGGGATGGGTCGGACTTGTTCTTTTTGCTCCCACTTAATTTGGACATTTAAAATGGACATCTACTCTTGTAAAACCACAAATACTAAAGCTATCAGAAGAGGATCTTATAATAGCTGTGGGTCTTTATTGCCTTATGAGTAAGTACATAGCTTTTGAGGCAAAGAAACTTGGAAATAGATCCTAGCTCTGCCACCTTTGGTTGTAGGAAAAGCAAATGAAATTATCTGTGCATGTTGCACGCATATATAATAAGGAGCACATAGTTTGTGGTTAATAAGCAGTAGCTATTTTTAAGATATTATTATAATTACTATTATTATTATTAAGTATCAGACTGACTCAGAGATTTAGATATTTAGTTATGTTAAAAATTGACTTCTGTCTTCATAATCAAAATAAAGAACTATGCTATAACTATGGGAAATATACTCAGTCTTTACTGATTTTATTTTTTGTCTAATACTTTAGGTTAAAAACTTTTTTTAGGTTACTCTGCATATATTTGTCATAAACTTCAGAGATACATTGTCATAAAAAATAATAAAGGATCATGAATTTAGACAGGTGTCAGAGCCTCTGTTTTTCTCTTTGTAAATAAATTTTCTTAGAAATTTTTATTACAGAGGTAATGTATGCTTTTATAGGAAAATAATGGAAAATAGAGATAAGCAGAAAGAAAAAATTAAAGGCACTAATATTCTTACTACTCACAGATTAAAAACTCTCATTATCTTCACATATGCACTACATATATATTTTTTAAAAATTTGGGTGCTAGGGCATGTACTATAAAATTCACCTGAATTGGCAAAGATCTATGTGAATAAATTTTCTTCTAAAACTTCATTTTTATTTGTAGTTTTGTATTCCGTAATATGAATTAATAAGAAAACCAGTTATCTGAGGTTAATTGTTGGCAGGAATATGCCATTCTACTGAAATGTCAACCTAAATTTGTGGTAAGTGGCAGTTTTTTAAAAGGACAAAAACTACAGTTTATCATAATAATTATTTTATTACGTGTTTAACAAAATACAGGTTACTAATCCTGAGAAAAATAGACAAATCTCACAGTGATTGGGGGATATGTTTTCTGACAAATATATGTGAGCACAGATATGACTTTCTATATTATATATACCTTTGATTCTCACAGAAGGATCATCACTTGCCAATAAAAAAATTCCTTGGAGTTCATCAGTTTTGCTTTATTTGAAGTCTCTACTGAGTCACCATCATCAACATCCTGCAGTTTACTGCTCAAACTCCACAGATTTTTGTCAGCCATTTTGCATTTGACGGGATAGTTCCTGCATTATTTTTGTTGACTTGAAGAAATCCCGTAACTTTGACAAAGTTTATAGTCTGGCTTTGCAAAATGACTTACTTTTATTATTATTATTAATTTAAAATATATTTAGAATAGAAACATTTAAATCATTTGTAAATTTATAAGGGAATGCAGAATGACTTGACAGTAGGAAAGGAAAGATGTTAATGTAAATAGATTGAGGATTGATACTACAAACAATTGGTTTGTTAAGAAATACTTTCCTGCTGTAACTTTACAGATAGCCTGCATTTCTTTATATTATATCTGTAGAAGCAAGGTCTTTCTCACTATGAATTTCTAAATTCATCCCTTATTGATAACACTTAGGTTCAGCTATTTTAAATATATTTTTACTATTTTAAAAGATATTCATATTAGACTAAAGGTATCAGATATAAGATATTAAGGAACTCCACAAATTCTAACAGGAATAGGGTACAAAATAAAATGATCTTTTGTGGGGTTTTTTTGCTGTTGTTATTTTTGCTTTAGATAAGGTAAAAATGAGTACATTCTTTTGAAAATTGTGAAACCTATGCTCCCAGTTTATATAGGTATGTTATATAGTACTGGTTCTTGATAATCTAGATCGCCCATCGCATAGGTCTTGTTATCTGTTAAGTACTAATTTAACTGTAGAGGAATCTGTATTTTAGTCTATAAGTATCTGTAAGTATAGAAAAAGCTGGTCTACTCTTAAATGTCACAATCTTACAAAGAATTTCCTGACCACCATATTTATACTGATATAATCTTGTTACTATTTCTATTTCCTTTTCCTTTTAAAAGGACTGTTTCCTTTCTTTCATTTACTGCAATTTACAAATGTATTATTTTTTATTATTTATTTATTGTATGTTTCTCCACTGGTCTTTAAGCAACTCAAGGCCAAAAAACATGTCTATTTTATTCATCGATCTATTCCCTGATTATGGCACCAAGACTTACACATGGCAGGCACCTAATAAAGTGTTATAAATTGCTGGATGAGTGAATGGTGAATGATTGCATGATCTGAAAACTAGTAACAACACAATAGATTGATTAAAAATTTTTCTTTGAGAATTTTTCTTAAGGACACTCTTATTTTATCCTGCTGTCATAAAGACTAAATCGTCTTCTATTCTAATGAGGTATAACTGTTTAGTCCAGTTCCTGATATTAGTTGGAGGAGGTTGGATGGAAACCCGTTGCCAAGGAAAGTCAAGTACAGCAAATCCCAAGCTATTCTTGAAATCCCGAACTTTCAACAGGAAGATGAAGGCTTCTATGAGTGCATTGCAGGCAACCTTCGAGGAAGAAACCTTGCAAAGGGTCAGCTCATTCTCTATGGTAAGCTAATAGGATTTCAAAAAGTACATGAAATGTTTGGTAATATCCTTCATAGTAAGTAGTGAAAGTCATTAGCATGTTGTAGAAGTGTCATAGGAGAAATAAAGAAGACACATGGCTAGGTGAGGATGCTAATGGGTGGGAATGACCATTTTTAAAATATAGCTTTAATTCCATCATGGCCTTTGCACGCTATTGTTTATTATAATTGCCTTGAAAGTATCAGCAGTGTCACATTAAAGCTATAAAAGTTTATAACACAAAGTACTGTAGAATCCAATATATTTCCCATAAAACATGCAGCAAAAGCCCATGACAATATTAATTATAATTCTAAGTAGAATTCACAGAAGAAGGAGAAAATGACAGGAGAAACATAATACTGAATGGTAGTTTTCAGTTTTTGTTTCTATTTTCCAGATTTTGTCTATTCATATGTAGATAATAGAAAAATAGTCATTACTTCACTTAAAATATATGTTTGTCTCAATTAGCAGAATCTCAAATGAAAGCATGTGTTATATAAAAATTGTCTTCGTGTCTTCTTTTATCCAGGCCAAAATACATACTTGCATAAAATTTGCTTCTTTCTTTTACATCAAACAAACCATAAAATACACCCCAGAATTATCAAAATGTTTGGTACTTTTAAGATATTCTTAACTTCTTTGCTAAATTTAATTTATCTGTACTGGAGAACTTTAAGGCTGTATTTATACATGACCAAAAATACTTTCCTATGTAACATGCTTCTGCGTGACATGTTTACAATCAATGATAAAGTAATTGGAGAAAATATATATTTTTTGTAACTGGAAAAGTCTAAGGTATTGTAATTACCTTATAGGAATGGCAATTGAGTATCCTGTGGGGAGAACATATTGTGCCTTGGTTATATTATTTGCCATTTCCTTTAGAATTTCCAATTTTAACCTTGAATGAAAAGTACTATTTTATATATAGAATATGATATCCTGCTGATTATTTCTCTACAATTGTAGCTACACACACACACACACACACATATGTATGAAGTTTTAAGGAACAATCTTTCGAATCTAGCATCTGTTGTAAATAAAATAGTAAGGATGTGACTGGAATTATTTTAATGACCCCAAAGTATTATAGGCTTTGGCTAGTTTTTAATAGATACTTCATTTTTCTATTAAATAGCCAAAGATATATCTAAATGATTAAACAGAAAATGAGTGTATCTTTAAACCAGAAATTAATAATAAAGTGCTTCCTCCCACATCTCTACAAAAACTGTTAACTTACACAACAGATTTTACAAACATATATTCATATAATTTTTAACAATAGTAAGAGCTAGGAATACATGTCATTAGTCATTTAATGAGTCCAAATGGTCCTTGTGGAGTAATAATGAATAATTGGTCAATAAGACAAATATTATGTTTCTTGCTCACTTATTAATTTATTTGTCATTGTACTCCCAAAGGAGCAATTCAGTAATTGACTCAATTATCTGAGAATTGCATAAGACCTGAATTTTTTAAGAAAAGAATTGGTTTTATTATATTGCTGTGTTTAAGTAATAATTCAGAACCCTATCCCTCTATATTATGTCTTTGTAACTTCCAAAAGAAATCTTAAAATATTAATATCATTATAGAAAATGAAACATATTCAGAGAAGTTAAATGATTTCCCATAACCATTCAATAGGGGAAAAAAAAATAAAATCTAAACTCCAAGCCTATATATTTGACCTGAATTCCTAAGTCCTTCCTTTCATGCATTTACAATGTAGTTGAAGATTTAAAACTTTGGTCTTCAGAATCTGAAGCATCCAAAGGATTTACATATAAAATAAATAAATGTATTTTAAAGTTATAATTACTGCATTAAAAAATAATCCATATATATTTCATACTTTTATAAGCTATATGAATTTTATGTGAGTATGAATTTCTTCTCCCAGGCCAAACATATGTTAAAACAATTTCTAAATAATCATCTACAATTTACAAAATTTTGTTAATATTCAGAAGCATGATTCAATTTCTTCCATGCATCTACTTCTTCTAAGTCTTCCCTTGATTTGTCCCTTAAAACTGTGATGACCATGTTCTGTAACCGGAAGTCACCCTGATTTCCACAGATGGTAATCCCAGGCTTAGTTTTTACTACAGTGAGACATCCTGATTCCTTCTTCTCAGTGACCAGCTCCCTAAAAGTCCTTTCATCTCAATGGAACCAGATGTTGCAGTGGGAAAACCCAGGAAGTCGGACATACTTGTATAACATTTCAAAGACTCTTGGTCCCACTTCTTACTTCAGCCACCGCTGCAGTGAGCAGCTCCATGTTTTGTAGGTGTTACCTGACAGGGTCTCATCTCAGGTGCCACACAAAGTCCATCTTGTTCCCCCCTCCAGCTTTCTTTGTTCTCAGGAGCCTGCTCAGCACTTAAGCATACACAGCCTGGGTGTTCTAATACATACTGTCTCTACCACTCTTGAATGACTATGGACAGGAGCCAGTGAACAAATTCTTCCTCTTCCTTTCCCCGGGTAGGCAGTTATAAAGACCCTTAGAACGTCACAGAAGCTAGAGTAATAGTGGCCCATGTCGGAGGCCAACTCAGTAACTGACCCTTGCATTGCCTCCTTCCTTCCTTACTGACTCTTCCTTTTCCTGACTCCCCATCTTAGGGCTGACATTCCCAAACAGACAGCCTGAACACAACCCCTTGATTGAGGATGTGCTTTCAGGGTTCAAATTTTGGCTTCTGTATTTTGTGACTGTCTTCTTGAGCAGGTTCCCTAAAATCCCTGAAAAAATCCTCTACCAATATTGGAGGGGAAATTACCTGCAATTAGATATATAAAACATCTAACTTGTAATAGTCTGCAGTTCCAAAGGATATTTCGTCTACTCTTACATATCTGAGGCCAGACCTAAATAAAAGAGAGAGATTAAATGACACAGCCAGGCAGCCCCATATCATATTTATGGAATAAATGTTAATTTTAAAGCATTTAATCTGTACCCCACCTTTTGGTGTCAATGGTAGTAAGGCTATTACCACTTTATCCATAAATGGCACTTTACTATAAATGCCTCAGTACTCATTGCCTATCAAAGATTTTATCTAGGGTTAAAAAAAAATTGGACTGTAATCTTACTAAAATGTGATGAGACTCATATTTGAATTGTGCTTCAAACTGAATTGTAATTATATCTGATATAGATACACTTATTTTTAGTTACAACATTTCAGATGAAATATAATCAAAGGCTTTTGCCCACAGTGGGCTCAAAATTTGTATACATTTTCTAGCTTGACCTATCCACTAATATTTGCCATGAAATTATTCTCTGGCCTTGTTCTGCATTTGAACTTTTTCCCACAACTCCCAAGTTGCTGTAAAGGTGCATCAAAATGACAAGTGGCAAATATTTATCTTACGCCAAAGGACCACTGATATTTATATCAAGACTTCCGTCACTCCACATTGAGGCTTCTGTATTTCCCTTCTATCAGATCATGTGTTTGCAGCACTGTTGGGCCCAGGAGGCCTTGTCCTTCTGCTTTGTACAGACCTTGGAATGTTGCACAATATTTTGGATAATTGACTTACCAAGTAGTTGTTCTTGTCTATTTTTGAAACAGCCCCACCAGAATGGGAACAAAAAATCCAAAATACATACCTGTCTATCTATGACAATTTGTTTTGGGAATGCAAAGCTAGTGGAAAGCCAAATCCTTGGTACACCTGGTTAAAGAATGGTGAACGCCTCAATCCAGAGGTAAGTGTCAATGCTAATATTAAAATTCACCTATTCTCCTAGGAAAATTTTGTTACTACCAGCAACAATTAATGTTTTCGGAATGCTTAGTCGGTGTTAAGAAATGTAGTATACTCTTCATATATACTAATTTATATAATATTTAAATAAAAGTAGCTATTAATATTATCTCCATTGTTTAAATGAGAAAAATTAAGGGTAGAGAAGACAAGCTTAAGGTTACACACTAGTCAGTGATAGATTCACATCCAGATATCACCATCATCATCATCATCATCATTGTCATCATAATTAAATCTACCAAAGTCTTGTATGTTCCAGGTCCTGTGCACATATTTTTCCATGCATTATCTTATTGTATCCTCGTGACAATATTGTAAGAGAGATGCTAATATTATTTCTTCTATAGATGATGAAGATTGGTTTCAGAGAGGTTAAGGCACTTGCCCAAAGTCACACAGTAGCTAGTAGTTGTTAGAATTTGTATTCTAAACGTAGTCTGACCAGGATCCAAGCTCTTAAACATTAACCAGTGTCTTGCTTTTCTGAAAACTAATGGCTCTAAACCCATAGGAAGTGGAGAACTGAGGCAGTTATCCACATTTTCAGCCTAAATTATACTTTTGTTCTACAGTATACTGAAAATGAGACAGATTTTTTTTCATCAAATTGTCCAAATAATTGCGTTAATTCTCCCTTTTACTTTGTACTTGTAGGCACAGCTAGGGACACAAAGAACATCTGGTGTTTAGAAGCTGAATATAACGCTGTTCTTTGTTTTGGTTTTAGTGGAATTTTCTTCCTGAATACCTTTTGCATAGAGCATTTTCTGTTTCCTCCGGCCTACTTTTATTATCTTTAAAGGATGGTAATAGGTATATTGAAATTTTTTTTAGAATTATATTTGCTCTATTAAACTATTTCATTATGTGCACTCAAAATTGTATTTCTATACTCCAAATGGGACTCTGGAACAGATTTTGGCTGTTTAAGCATACTATGGCAGGCTGCAGAAAAGGAGAATTTAGCTTCTCCAACTTATGACTCAATTAGAACATTATCAAGTCATCACATTTCAAGTCTTTTGGAGACCTTATGATGGAAAGCCAAGGGAATTTCTAACCATTATATTCTTGTCTAGCATTATTATTGACCATATTTTCTAGAATAATTGGAATGGCACAATCTTCCAAATTATTTTATATACCTTATAATAGAACGGTAACATATACTCTATGCAGACAATGCCAATTTTCAAAGAAATGAGATAACATAAAATATACTAACCATTAAAATTATATGAAGGATGTTTCTTTTTTTAACTTCAAAAAGCTGCTCAGAATCTTACAGGATATTAAGTTTCATCATCATAAACATCAGCTCTCATACACAAAAATATTCTATCTTGTAGATATGCACAAATGTTTAATAATGTATTCTGGTTAAGAGAATGCCTACATTAACATACTAGCATTTTTACATGACTTTTCTTTTATTAGGAAAGAATTCAAATAGAAAATGGGACACTTACCATAACTATGTTGAATGTGTCAGATTCGGGTGTCTACCAGTGTGCTGCAGAAAACAAATATCGGATAATTTATGCAAATGCAGAATTGAGAGTATTAGGTAAGTCATTCACTTATAATCAAAAAATTCAAAATGACATTTTAGCAAGCTATGATTATACATAATATGAATCCAATTTTTCAGTAAATTAGAGATTGCTTTACCTTGACATAATGGGAAATGTCTAAATTAACTTAAAAAAATGCAGGATCATAATTATTATTCTACTTGAGCAATACATTAGGACTTCCAGAGAAGCCCACTGTTGGGTACATACAAACCAGAAAAAGTCTCCTCCAAAGCTGATCCTAGCACATGATGTTTTGAGTACAGTTCAAAATTATCCATTAGAAATGTTTTCACCTGGTGTGCCTGGATGGCTCAGCCTGTTAAGTGTCTGCCTTCCGCTCAGTTCATGATCCCAGGGTCCTGGGATGCAGCCCCACATTGGGCTCCCTGCTTTGTGGGGGCATCTCCTTCTCTTTTTCCTCCCTGCTCATGCTCCTCCTCACTTCACTATCTCTCTATCTTTCTCAAATTAAAAAAAAAAATGTTTTCACCTGCCAATTAAAGAAAAGAAAGGAAAATCTCAATTTATAATGATTTAAGCAGGTATTTATTTTTTTCTCTTAACAAGAAGTTCAGGGGTGGTAGCTGAGCCATGGGACTGTGGTTGATGATGTTCTTCTTTACACTTTTCCCTCGTGCGTATAGCCTTGAGGGGATGACTGCTATTGCTACAGAAATAAAGTCCCTACTTAAAGGAGAAGGGGAAGGTAGGGACAAAAGTGACCAAATTTATACCTCTCATCAGAAAATGCAAAATCGTCTTCCATCCTTACAGTAAAATCCTTCTATGCCAATGACTAGAACCCTGCCACATGATCACCCAGACCTCAAAGAAAGCTGGGCAGATAAGTCCCGGTAGTGAAATATTGGGGATAGAAGCAGTTTGAGAATGATAATCTAAGTGGTATCTGTCACAATAAATAACCATTAGTGTCTTTAATCACAAATTTTTCTTCATGATAGGAAAAAAGGAGAGTAAAGAGAGGACAGATCAAGCAAAGAGGCAAGGTTTCAAGAGCTTTTGGACAATGGCCATTGATTTGTTTGTTTATTCTTTGAATCACTACTATTTATTGAACATATATGTATACTAAGCACTGAAAATATAATTATCAATACTTAAGTGATCTTTACTTTCATAAAACCTATAGTTTCACTGAGAAAAGAAACCTAAAATTTAAAATATGATTATTACGGTCAATAATTGAGTAGTTGTTGTCAGACTTCATGGCAAGTTGAATATAACCCTAAATTGAGGACGTTCTCTTTAAGCTGAGATCTGAAAAGAAAGCACACACAGGTCCATGGAAGAGCAAAGAAACAATACTTGAAATTCCCAGAGACAAAAGAGTATGGCATATCTGAGAGAATTTCAGCTCAATTAGACTTTAGACTAGGGATGGGGATTAGACACATGGGTTCCCCCATTCATGAAGCTGGAAAGACTCAGAGGCCAACCAGTCTAATAATTTCTCACTCTCATGAGCTAGTATTTGTTCAACATTTATCGAATGGGGACAAAGTTGAAACTGACAAAGACTTTTTTTAAAAAAAAATTTCTGCTCAGCCTGCCTGCTTCTACAGAAGGCAGAGTATTCCCATTTTGCTGGTTAAAGTCTTGCCTGAGGAAATCTGACATAGTGATAGAGTATTCCTGATTTAATTCATTGCTATTCTATATTTCATATTTAAGATCATTACTTTGACTGGAATAGATTTGGTGATTTCCCTAATCAGGGTTTAGATCCCCCTTCTGGCTCTTCAGAACCATCTTCACCCTCTTTACTATAAACACTCTTAAGAATGTGACTCTTTGTAACTCGCTTCTTCCCTCAGTCCAACTGGCTTTTGTTAATGCCAATGACTTGCACCAAAACAAAAATAGATTACATTTATTGAATACATATTCTGTGCCAGACAGTATGCTATGCTTCTTCACAGATATTATATCATTTAATCTCCACAGTAATTTTCTGAGGTGATGTCTATTGTCATCTTCATTTTTCAAATGAAAATAGAACTCCAAAATGCCAAATTGGTAACTGGCCCTAGAACAGTGTGAGCAAAATAGCTTGAGAGTTCTGGGTACAAATATTAAATTTTGTCTCGTATACCACATCACATTACCACATGTTAATTAAGGACGTAACTCAACAATTTTGTTTTTAATTTTGTTTTTAGCCTCAGCTCCTGATTTCTCTAAAAATCCCATTAAAAAAAATTCAGTTGTTCAAGTTGGTGGGGATATTACTATCGAATGCAAGCCAAATGCCTTTCCTAGGGCAACTATCTCCTGGAAAAGAGGAATGGAGAGCCTGAGACAAAGCAAAAGGTAAATAAAGCTCTTTTGTGTTATATTTTGTACTATTTTGTGGTACAGTGTCTTGCAAGTCTAAGTCTTCTAAAATTCTCTCCCTTATGATAAACTTAAAACTGGGTACTCACAGATACTAAACATTTCCACATGGTAGCAAAAACTAAAGAACTTTATAAACTTAAGGCCTATTTGTATAATTTTGTTGCAATATATTTAGTGCATGCACTTGTAATATATTTTTAAAAATCCTTTAAGACCTTTTTCTATATTCAGCTTGAAGATTTTTCCTGACCCAGCCTGCTGAGAAATCAGTGAGAAGAGCATTACACAAAAGAGAGAGACACTTATATTCACACACCTGGTGTTGTGGTTTTTAAATAGTCACACAGGTGTTCGCCCCATGACAAAATGAATTCACCACATGAAAAAAATGTAGAGAGGTTCCTGTAGAGAAAGAAGAGAGGTTTCCGTCTATTCTGGATGTGATTGAGAAATCCTGGATCAGCACTGGCATGTTTTCTAGGAGAGTTTAGATAGAGCAAAACAGGTGTTTTTCTCTACTTAGAATATATTTCATTGAGTTGTTCTGTAGTACCTTGTACACCTAGAGATGACTAGTGGGTAGTTGAGCTCTATTGTAATGATCCACGTGCGCTACTGTGTGATCAGATGCACAGTGGAATGAGCCATTGCGCTGAAGATGTGAAAAAGTTTCAGTGAGCTCTTTGCCAGCATTATATGTACCATTAACTCCCGTGTGTCCCTGACCAGGAAGGTAGCATAAACAAACAAGACAGGCCAGGTAAAAGAAGGGACAGCTGAAGTGTGATGAGAAATGGCAGTCTGCCAGTCTTACAAGACAAGGCTGTGATGGCCAGGAGAGTGAGTTCTGCACCAAAACTACATAGTCACTCCAAATTCAGGCACACGTTGTTTTGTGGGAGGGTAGAACTTCAGACAGGGTTGTAGAACTTCAAACATTTCGAGAAAAACTAGAAACCGGGGTGTGGCATTGAATTTTCTGAGCCAGTAAAAATGCCCAAAGGCTGGATGCAGGGACACCATCTTGTTATTTCTGATCTAGGACTGCTTTTATGGTTAACGGAGAGAGAAAAGGAGGTTAAAACAAATGGTGCTGGTTGTATAGAGTGCTATCAGAGTTATATCTAGTGCCTCGGAGACCCTCTCCTGACATGACAAGATACACAAAAGAAAGACCTTTCTAGGGCACTCTCTTCCCTTACTGTCTTCTGTCTCCAGTGGCCTCTATAGCTTTACACTGAAGCTTTTCCCAGGACAGGGATTTTGTCAAATTTATCTGCGCATGCCGTATGCCTTCGGCATAGAACCCAACCTCAAAAATATCCGTGGAATGAATGAATGTGTTAAAAAAAAGTTTGAATATGTAAGGCGTCACCAGTTCTTCTAGAGGAGACACCTTGAGACAGAAGAACAGAAGCTTCAGAGCTAAGGAGAAAGGACAGATGAAGGGAAATCTGTTGCCCTGGCCCTGACTGGGCTCCTTCCTCAGTGCAGACAGGCCAGGAGATCATTGCAAGCATTCTCAAGAGCTTTGGATGTGGATTCCTCTTAGAGGTTTCCTCTTTGATTGCTGAAATCTAATTGAGGCTTGAACACACTGCGGTAGAACTGGACAACTCAAGAGATAGCACAGGATCAAACAGCGGTCTGTACTGAGAATTGAGATAAATTGATTACTTTGTTTCCTAAAGTGACTGAAGGTCCACAACTAAGCAGGAAAGACTGCTGTTTACTTTCTATAACCTTTAAAAACTCAAACACAGTATATGTGGGGAGGAGAAAGAGAGGGAAGAGGATTGGAATAAAATACGAAAAAGAGGGGAAAAGTTTTGTAGATTACGAGGAAAACTGCTTTTAAAATGGCTTTTCAGGTTTATGTTTTGATTTGCCCCACCTAGAATGAATTTGGGATCATTTTTTAGCGTGAGAATAGTCACTCACAGCATATCAGATTAAGCATTGTCTCACTATAATTAAAGGAGTGATCTGTGCGATTTCTATTCACAGATGCTTCTTCTGTAATTCTGTTCTCTCACTGCTATAGGACTTCATTACAGGTCTCAACAAAAGAAAATAAACAAACAAACAAAATTATCTCCTGAACATACAACTTAAAAAATTGGAAAAAAAATAAAGTTAAGCCCCAAAGTACATGGTAATTACAGACGTATATCTCTGCCAGTTATAGATTACCTTAAGCAGTAATTTGCAAAGGTCACACAGCCAGTTCGGTGAGACTTTGTGTCTCTGCATGATTTCTGTCCTGTCCGCTCTTCTATTGCCTTCTGACCTGATGGTTTCATTAAGTGCATGGTTTCATGCTGTTTACTGGGAAATGCAGCACCTGGGCTTCAGTTTGTGTTGACTTAATGGCTTTTTTGTCGTCTAATCGTAGCGATTTCCAAAGACATTGAAGGTAAAAATTAGAGTTGTGATAAAAAAGAAAAGAAGGAAAGAAAGGAGGGAGCTAGGAGAAGAAAGAAAGAAGGAATTTTATAGAACCAGGTCCTAAACTCAAAGACAGAACGTTGAGTCCCAATATACATTTTTTTTTAATTTTCAGCATAACAGTATTCATTATTTTTGCACCACACCCAGTGCTCCATGCAATCCGTGCCCTCTCTAATACCCACCACCTGGTTCCCCCAACCTCCCACCCCCCCGCCCCTTTCAGAGTCCATAGTCTCTCATGGTTCACCTCCCCTTCCAATTTCCCCCAATATACATTTTTAAATGCCACACTGCTTATTTCACTTAAGCAGAAAAATAAATGTAATTCCTACCCTCTCATATCTTGTTAAAACATGACACAGTTGTACACATAGAAAGATTTAAAGAGTCACAAGTGGAAACCAGTTAAATATTTACAATGATTCCAAGTAGGAATAATTTTTAGTTCTTGACCTTGGAAATACCCATGTGGGAAAATGCACATTTTTACTTTCTGTTATAAAACTTCTATATGCTCCTGTCTACTTTGAGATTTCATTGTCACTACCACTTGCTTTCAATAAAGCGTAACTACCTAGAGATGGTTGAAAGGACTCTCAAGAAGCCTATTCAAAGTAATCTTACTGTATTACCTACTTATAAAAAAAATAGTGGCAATATATATATTTTGACAATTTCCTCCACTCTTACATGGATTGAGACAGCATACATCACCTAGGTAGTAAATGATAAAGCTTGGACTCTATGCCAAGTTGCCCATCTCTCTTGCCAGATTTTTTCCACTCAACAGATAATGGAGAACATACTTGATTCTTTATTTTTTGAAGGGCTGTTTTCACATGGTTTAACCTAATTTCATGTATTGGTAATTCAAGTCAAGCAACAATTCTGAGAGAAATTAACATGTTTCTAATGGGTCTGTGTGCAACAATTGAAGTCTTGACTGTTTTATGATTTCTGTCTTTGTAAGTGCCTATATTCATGACAGGCTGTCCAAGGAGAAGTTTTCCTACAACTAAAAATAGGTGGATAGCATTACAGAGTCCAAAGGCTGCCTGGTTTCCTGCTGGGAATGTATGGTCTTATGACATCCACCTCATTCTTTTGGTACTACAAGTTATTTAGCAATAGCATCTATAGTAGCAAAGGTATATTCCTATGGGGAAAACGGGGGTGTATTGCAAAGAGCCCTGCCTTGGGAGTTAGAAAACAGGGATTTTGATTCCAGTTCTATCACTGATGAGTGACCTGACCTTGGATAAAACCACTAGCATAATCTTCGTTTGGGGGGGGGGGGGGGTTTGTTTGTTTTTTTCTTTTGAGGTCGCTGTTTTCTGGATTTATTTAAACATGATCCCCATGCAGTGACTGCCAGCATAGAGATTATATATCAGAAATCAATGTAAAACATTAGTGTGCCGGGTTAAAATTGCAGCTCCTATCACAGTTATAATTTTATATATATTTCACCGATTTCCTCAGGTGACCAAGTGATTGAGCCAGACAATTGTAATTGCTGTAAATTGTCAAAACAGCCAAAATGATCTGATTGGATGGATTCACAGGTTAGAGAGCCCTGGCAGCTGAACTGTAGCAAGACAGCATAGTGGGCCCCACTCTCCTTCACCATCACCCAGCACCCAGCTCCAACCTGGGATATAACAGACATTCAGTAAATATTTTCTGTGTTGCTAAATCAATGATGGTTAAAATTTACTTTGCTTTGTTTGTATCTATCTGACTTAAGACAAAACTTACTTAATAATTAATAGGCCCATGATGTGCTCATTCATTCTATGAATATTTAATGAACACATTTTATGTTCCAAATACTAAACTAGGTATTGTTAGTAAAATGTTAAACTAGTCAAGAATGTGACACATATTCTCCTTCCATAAGAAATTTTTTTTTTTTTTTTTTTTTAGTTATTGGGAGTCAGAGGATCTGGGTTCAAGTCCCAACCCTACTTCTCATATAGTTGGTAACTTCTAGCAAGTCCTTTAACCTCAGTAGTCCTCAGTTAAATCACTTGAAAAATGGGGAAAATAGTACCTCTCTCTTCCATATGGTTGTATGACACTGAAAAGACAGTATGTGTGGAAAGGCAGGGTGATCTGTATACTCTCCTGCCATTGGCTGCCTTTATTGCTGTGATCCTAATCTTTTTTTTTTTTTAAGATTTTATTTATTTATTTGACAGACAGAGATCACAAGTAGGCAGTGAGGCAGGCAGGGGTTCGGGGGTGGGGAAGCAGGCTCCCCGCTGAGCAGAGAGCCCGACACAGGGCTCCATCCCAGGACCCTGGGATCATGACCTGAGCAGAAGGCAGGGGCTTTAACCCACTGAGCCACCCAGGCGCCCCTGTGATCCTAATCTTTATGTAAGTCCCAATTACACATTTTTACCTCTTCAGCCAAGGTAAAAACCACAAACTTGACCACAGAAAGTCAAGATGAATACAGATTAAGCTTATTTCTGTAAGGCATTCTGGGCAACTGAGGGAATCAATTCCACATCTGC